TCCACGACACCGCCGATTCCGTACGGTTAACCACGGCTCCCTCGGGTCGAAAAAAAAGAAGAAGCAAAGAACCGCCGCCTCTCCTTTCTTCCTTCTTTCCTTCCTTCCTTCCTTCCTTCCTTCCTTCCTTCCTTCGTTCCTTTCTTTCCCTCCCTCGTCGCTTTTCCTCGCCTCCACGCTTTTCATCCGCGCCACACCACGGTATCGGAGGCAGGCATTTATGCATAAGACGGTTTTTCAAAGCGCATTTTCGGAATTACCGGTACCCTCCTCCTCCTCCTCCTCCTCCTCGTTGAAAACACGATGCATCCATAATTCATAAACGAATCAACCCTTTCATTCTGGCTACTTCTTCTGCTTTGAAAAATTCGACATAAGAATTCTATTCTCTCCTTAAACTCTCTTTAACCGTAAGCTGTTCTTGCAATTGAGGAATGATTAATTTCTGTTGGCGGTAAATCGTGGCTGATTATTCCCATTACGGCAATGGATGATAGAATTTAATTTAGGAGATTACCCGAGGGAGCTAGGTTAATGGGTAGTGATCGATGAGGGAGAATCATCATTCAGAATGACGTCCCTCCTCCGAGACAATCTTGCATGACAATCGGTTTGGCCGCGCCGTTTGTCAATTACATTACGCGTCGAATCGAAATCGAACCTTTTTCTCTCTCTCTCTCTCTCTCTGTCGCGAGATTATGGATGGATCGATTCTAGTTGTGCTCGAATAAAGAGTGGACACGGTTTCGTTTTCGTTTTCGTCGAACGGAGAAACTTTTCGTGGCTTCGAAACGAGCTGCGTTGGAAAAAAAAAAAAAAAAAAGAAAGAAAAGAAAAGTTAGCTGCCGGTTTTTTTCTGAGGATGAAAGTTCCCTACGAAAAGTTCAAGCACACACAACAAAAGTGGCTACCGTATCGAGACCGGTCACACGATGGAGAGACTCGCGCGCTCGAACGATGATCCTCCGTTCTTCGAACAGATTCGTGGTTTTTTGCGCCACATTGGCCAATTTTTCTCCCCTCCCCTCTCTCCCCAATCGATATCGAACGGGTGTACTCAGAATTTTTGGAATAACGAGAAAGAAGAAAAGAAGGGAGAAAAGAAGAGAAAAGGATCGGAATCGAGGCACGAAGATTCGCAGAAGATTCGGAAAAAAAGTTTTTTCTTTATTTCTCCGAAATTATCGGTCTGCGCACGGAAACGGTATCATCCCACGATAACAAAGGCAATACGATCGCTAAGTCACGCGTTTTGAATCTGCAAACAGGCCATATGAGCCGGGTGTAGGAGGAGCGCACGTTACCGATCGCATTCTCTAATATTCGATTAGTCTCATTACGAAGCAATGGACGACGTGACCACCATACTCATGCACGTTCGTTCATTGCACGCCGCTTTTCGAAACGAAGCGGGACGTTTAAACGGCCAGGATCTCGCGAGACAGCGACGAAGGGATAAATTTGATGAGTTTGACGACGATGGTTATTAATCTATGGGGATAATTGACTTAGAAATTTTCATCGGATCTCGTGGTTAGAAAGAGTGACGTTTTGTCTTTCGATCGAGGATAAATTTCCCCGTTTGATCGGGACGTTGGATGGAGAAAATCAAAGTGGCTGTCGTCGGGAATCA